TAAATTAACTGACATTTTGTTAATAGCCATCCTTGAAAGACGTCCATTATACAAATTCATTTTTGTTTGAAAATATTGAATAAATATCACCAAGTTAATAAATTTGCTTGATACAACTTTCTAATTCACCCAGTGATATACAGTGTGTTAAGAAAAAAATTGGCCTCCGGAGATATAAAATTTAAAATGCATAATTTCCATATTAATTAAATAAATCATAACAAATCATTTTAGACAATAATAATTGACTCTGTAACTTAGTTTTAATTAAATTTATAACCTTTTAAACATCGTTTTTTGTGCTTTAAAAATGACTGCAAACAAGTTAAATTCTCAATGCCAAACTCTTGTACATTTTTGGAATAATGGAGTCCGATCTCAAAAGGAACTCCACAAAATTACTAATATCCCCCTCTCAACAATCAAGTATAATATCCAAAAATTAAAAAAAACTGGAGATGTTGCACATAGACGAAGCAATGGTCGTTCCAAAAAGATAGGTTTATGTGAATCACGTGACCTCAAGCAGTACATTCACGAAGACAGTTCCCTATATTTACGAACCTTGGCTACTAAATTGTCCAAGGATGGAGTTAAAGTGTCCCATGTAACAGTTGGAGCACGATTAAAGGAGCTTGGTTACAAAAATAGTCTTCCAAATGGTACACCAATGCTCACTGCGGTCCAGAAGGCGAAGCGAGTTGAATGGGCCACAAATCACTTGAATGATCAATGGGAAAAGACCTTATTTTCTGATGAAACAGCCTTTCAGTTATTTAGAAATACAATATCACAGTGGTATAAGGGCCCTAGACCAATTAGACCTCTTCCCAAGAATTGGCAAAAAATTTTCGCCTGGGGTGGATTTTGTGCTAAAGGCAAAACCACTTTACATTGCTTCACAGGGATCATGGATGCTAAATTTTATATAGAGATTTTACAGCAGCATCTTCCAGAAGTTAGAAGGATGTTTGGAAGGAGGTGGAGATTTCAACAGGATAATGACCCAAAGCACACTAGTCAGGTTGCTAAGGAGTTTTTAAAAGAAAACTTCCCCGAGGTTATGGACTGGCCATCTAACAGTCCAGACCTCAATCCTTTCGAAAACCTGTGGGGAATTGTTAAGCATCGTGTAGAGAAGCGTATGCCAAATAATATTAGTGAATTACAACAATATATGACAGAAGAGTGGGAAAATATTCCGGATGAATTTTTGACTAATCTTATTGGGTCAATGCATAACCGCTGTCAACTTGTAATTGATAGCAATGGCGAACGAATTAATTATTAATAAATTTTATTCTTTATATTGTCAAAAGCCTTGCTTTTTGGCTTTTAAACAAGCTATCTCATTTTAAAATTAAAACATTCTATATAAAACTACAATAAAAAAACGGAGGCCAATTTTTTTCTTAACACACTGTATATATTATAAAAAAAAATTAATACTTTTTTATAAACAAATTCTAAAATAAATATTTAAAGCTTGGAGATTAGAACTTACCATTGCATTAATTATTATTATGTAAAAAAAAATTAAGTCGAAAGATTGAATTGTGCATATTCAAGTTTCTTATATTATAGAACTTATAGAGCTGGTGGGCCAACTTCACATTAAGATTTTCTTCGAGTCTTATTTGTTTACCCTGGCAAAAAATATGTCAAAATAAAGGGTTTTCCATATATTTTGATTTTTTATAATTCAAGGAACAAACTTGGTTAAATCGGGTAGGTTTGTGTATACCAGAGTGATTTTTTTCTTCAATTTTACATATAAAATTATGCACGAAGATCATTAATTTTATATATGAGTGACACTTGACCCCCTGTAAATCTGCAATGTCCTGCGACTGATATAGTTTGCTTCTTTTTTCATAGTAATATTCATAAATTTTTGATGCAATTTCCTCATCAGTAAGATGAGAACATGAATATGTACGTGAATTCTGACAAATTAATAGGTTTCTGTAACCTGGATATGCATATGGAGTTTGTAATGGAACAGATCTTTCTGATAATCATATTGCGGATGGTTTTTATGATCTATTATTTCTTTGATGAAACACCCCCAATCAAAATCTTCAGAATCATTACCACATTCTTCCCAATTAGTTTTTACGCCCTGATATAATTCTTCAAGTTTTTTATCCATATAGACAATAGGTTCAGGAATTGGTTCTGGAGTTGAATCAATAATTTCTGGCTCAGTAACTGGTTCAATAATTTCTGGCTCAGAAATCAGTTCAGGAATATTAGTTTCAGATAATATGGCACTCCAGAATTCATCCTCGTCTTCTAATTCGAGATTGTGGGTTCAGGAACTGGCTCAGAAATCAGTTCAGGAATTGACTCTTCTATTTTTTTAGAAATTGTTCATCAAATTCTGAACCAGATGATTCATAGACTTTGTCAGTGTCATCATCATTTTCTAGTTCAGGAATTGAATTAGTAGAATTAGTAGTAAGAGGGGCTTCTGCTGGGAAATATTCTTCTAAAAATTGATCTGTATGGGCAGAGTCTAAAGTTGCCAATTCATCCTCAATTGATTTCTCTGTAGAATTAGTAGAATTAGTAGAATTAGTAGAATCTGGTTTTTCACATAGAAAATCTTTATTATCTAGGTTCTCTCACATTTTTTCAATAATTTCTCTATGATCTAACTTGTATGAGTATTCTCTACCATATTTAGTTCTTGGACAATATCTTGTAGCATACAGTACCTGGACAAAAGTATCGGACCCCCTAAATGTATTAATTACACAAAAACGTACATAATAAGTATACAGAA